CAGATATTTAAAGACTTTCTTCTTTCCTCTGAGATTTAGCTCATAGCTAAATCTAATAGCTAAATCTAATCTAATCTAAATACTTTTTGGTGCAAATTCTTATTGGCTAAAATAAGACTATGTTTGTCTATGTCTACAAAGCACAAAGATAAATAGGCAACTCAATTAGAAATCAGTTAATATTATAAAATGCAAAATGTGTTTTAAAATATTTTCTAACCAAAGCAGACAAATGATTGTTTCATTACTTGGTTTTCAACTTATTCCTTTGTTATCTTATAGGTTGTAATAAGAGAATATTTAGACTCAGACCTCAGGCCCCTATTTTGGTTCAGATTTTGGTTAAAGTGGGTGGCCAAAAAACATACTTTATGAGCCCCATATCTAGAAATTTCCCTTAAAGCGAAAATATGACCTGATACTGACTTGTACATAAGAGAAATCATAATGTTGATTCTCAGCCCATGCACCTAGTTAGGAAACATAAAGTTGTTCCAGTCTTGTGGTCAGATGGCGTAATATGTTAGTTACCAAAAGGAAGGCCTTAATATCACTCTTTGGAAACTACTGGTCAGCTTTTTCTGTTGTTTAGGAAGCAGGTAAGTATGTTATTCAGAACTTTTAATTCATGAACATTATGTAATGGAGAAAAATTTTTCAAAGTGTTAACCACTGTGCAAATCATCATGCTGTTGAAAGATACAAGTACACATGAAGCTGAATCAGGCTTAAAGATGTGGTCGTGCAGTCTGGGTTCCAAATTATCAGGGTGGTAATATTTGTGTTATCCATAACCACATCTAGATCTGTTATATAGCCTTGTTCCTAGTTCCAAGTTCCTTCTACTTTCCCCAGAGCATAGAGTATAGACAAATACTAAGCCAGGGTTTAAACACTCAGATTGTGTTTAATACGTGTGGTAGTTTGAGTAAATTTAAATTTAATGAAATAGCCCCTTTGGGTGATTTTAAACATTTATTTTGGCATTAGGTAGGCCTTCTGAATTTCCCTATAGACACAAATTCCTCTGAAAATACAACTGGAAGGAGAAAGGAAGAACATTATTTATTATGTTTCCCTTGGTTCAGTTTAAATTATTTTAGATTGTAGGCTAAACCACTCATTACTGAGTTAATTTATTTGTATAATTTTCCTTTTTAAACATAGTTCTGTGGCTTGAAACTCTTGTCTCTTGGGGTGTTTATAGTTCATGGAGCATGGAGTGCTTGGCAGCCTTGGGGTCCATGCAGTGAAAGCTGTGGGAAAGGAACCCAGACGAGAACAAGACTTTGCAATAACCCACCTCCAGCATTTGATGGATCCTACTGTGATGGAGCAGAAACACAGATGCAAGTTTGCAATGAAAGACACTGTCCAGGTAACAGAAATACACTGTTCATAACTTTAGTAAATTAACATCTACCTATCTTACCTAGGTAGTATGTCAATAAGAATCTATTCCATTCTGACTATACCCACAAGAACATCACTCAATCTAACAATGCCCAGGATTTAACCTGATGATTTTTAGGTGGTAACAAATCACATGCATTTTTCCCTTACTCCAGTGGATGGCAAGTGGGCATCTTGGGCCAGTTGGAGTGCCTGTACGGTGTCCTGTGGAGGAGGTGCCAGACAGAGAACAAGGGACTGCTCTGACCCTGCCCCCCAGCATGGAGGAAG